TTCACCATACCCCTATCTTTTATCTCTAAAGATTTCACCATACCCCTTCATCTCTAATCTAGCTTTTTTATTGACTTTTGACTATAAAAATTACGCCCCAACAAATCTTTTTATACTAGTTCATCTCAAAAACTTTTTTAACCCTCTTTTTCTCTTTCCACCCATTAAAAATGTTTTTGGGTTGAAATAGTATAAAAATATTTGTTGAGGCTAATTTTTATGATCAAAAGTCAATAAAAGAGTGAGATAAGAGATGAGGGGGGTATGGTGAAATCTTTAGGGGTTTTCTTATGCCGCTTGATCTTTTTCCCTTTCCACCTATTAAAAATATTTTTAGGTTGAAATAGTATAAAAAGATTTGTTGAGATTAATTTTTATAATCGAAAGTCAATAAAAGAGTAAGATAAGAGATGAGGAGGTATAGTGAAATCTTTTGGCGTTTTCTTATGCCGCATGAAAGAAAAACAACCCCTTGAAAGAAAAACGGAATGATGGTCTACCGTGAAATAATACGAGGAATTAGGGTTTTATACGAATTTTTCCCAATTTTTAGATGTACACATTTTTCATTCTAAAGAACAATTACAAAAAAGCCCAATTAATATAAGCCGTCCATTTTATTGAGATGGTTATGTATAGGCCTCATAAGGATTTTTTTATTCCCAAAATTTTTATATGGCGTCATCATCATTAGATTAATAATGCTAAAAAAGAAAAGAGTGATTTTGAATTTGTTAAGGCCTAGATCTTGAAATTAACTAAATGGATTGTCGAGATTCATTATTGGACGGGTATTAATTTTGACCATATATATGGTGCAAATTGATTTTTTTTTTTTTTTTTTCCATATGATTGATCATGAGGATGAAGAGAATGTGTGTGCAAAATTTTGGGTCATACAAATACCAAAAATATGGTTTTTTAGATGTGTGGTTGCATTATACTACTACAAAACGCCTATAGGCGAAAATGAACAATGATTTCGCCTGCCATCATCACCATCCAAATTTCATCGTACGGTCACAGTTCGTTCCAGTATTCGGTTTTAAATTTTCCATTTTCTAAGTATATATTCTAA